ACTCCCATTCTTCTGGCTGAATTTCACAGATATCTGAGCAAGGAATCATTTTATTAAAGAATGAAAAAATAGAAACACCACATGTATAAGAAAACAATGGAATATCTCACACTTCTGTTCAATAGGGGAACAAAGAAGGCCAAGGTTAGGGTACAGGGAAGCTTATCACACAGAGAACGCCAACCATCTGCACGGTGACTCAGAGCTTTTGTGGCCCCAGTGGACAGGGAGCAACCCACGAGCTACTGTGGCTGAGGAGGTAAGCAGGGCCCAAATGTCACGGCCTGTGAGCTTTGTTCAGCAGCAAGGATGGCATGCTAACCACAATGGGCAGACACTGATAGGCTTCAATTAAGTCAGTAGGATTAGCAGATTGGGGGGATACATTTATCTTTAACTGATACATAACCTTCGTGTTTTTAACACAGTTTTTGTCTGCAATGAAGAAAAAGTATGGAAAAAGACAAGTGTGCAAGCAAGAAGAAGGAGTCAGAGGCTGCTATCACAGATGTGCTGGCAGAGGATGATGCCAAGAAATACAGTGGGATGGACAGGTAAGAGAGTATTCTGGAAAGTGAAACAGCCAGGGCCTGGTAGCTGAATGGACATAAAGGAGCGAGGAATCAAAGACAAGGATCAGCATTCCAGGCTGGGCCAAGAAGTTAGGGAGCCAGAAGGAGGCTGACAGCTGGTTTTGTGGGGAAGACAGGTCAGCTGAAAGTGACAGTGGGACACTCAGACAAGAATGTCTGGCAGATGGAGATACGTGGTCATCAGCCTCTGTGCAGCTAAACAGTAAAGTGAGAAATGAACCCAGAGATTCCCAACATGTAAGGGGCAAAGGGACTGGAAGAAGACTAGGAAGAGGCTGACACAGAAGCGGGGAAAGCCAAGAGAATATGGCATCCTGTATACCAAATGAGAGAGAGAGCATTTCAAGAATGCGGTCAGTACTAAAAGCTGCCAAGAAGTCAAATGAGACAGGACTTAAGGCAGTTTCTGACAACCCTGGCGAAACCAGAGGCTGTGGAGAAGCAAAAGGGGCATTTCTAAATGCTATGCCATAAAAATTACAAATAACTATATGGTCTAGGTATTTAACATAACTTGTAAAAAAGAATCTACAAAATGACCTCATTATCTGATAACAGATAAAGCAGAAAAGAAGACTTGTAAGTTCTTTATAAACCACTATCAACTATCCATAAACATAGGATATGTTTTTATATGAAATTTCAAAGGGGAAAAATCCCAGTACCTGGAGGGGGGGAGTTAAATTTCTAAAATCCCAAGCAAAAAGACTAACTATTCTGGTTTGGGGCATTGGATTTTACATAAACACTTCTGAAATGCCAACTCCATGGGCCAGAGGTCCCTACAGGGCTCCTGCAGGACCTAGAGGCCTGGTCTCCTTCTAATTGGACAAGAAGGATTTGAATACAAGGTCATAATGGAAGCTAGAAGAGAGGTTACCATCAGCATAGGCACAAAACAATATGAGGGGAATGAGTCACCTCAGCTAGTCTAGCACTGTGCCCAATGAACACTAATCTCCTACCACCAAAAACCTTCATTTCAAATGCCTTCATCTCTATAACTAATTCAGGTTGGCATTTGCTTTCTGCAACATGGAGTCCAGCCAGACCCAGATGACAGGCATAAGAAGGAAACCTAAGAATTGAAGAAAGCAAAACATATCAGCCACGAAAACCACAGGCTGTCCAGAGCAAGAAAGGCCCCTTGCTCTCTTCTGAACAGAAGGCCATGCTTCCAACAGGAGGTGGGGGAACCTCTACTGATGCCAGACAAACATTAAGAAAGTCAGGCTGTGGTGAACTGTTACAATGGACTGTTAGCCCATTCTGAGTCATTCATGTTACAGAAAAGAAAAGGAGCTTGCCCAGATGACAGAGTTTGGCTGGACCTGAGCAAGAACCTGTCTGATTTGTTCGGCACTATAACACAAGACCTTCTGATGGCCAATTGCTGCCAAATACCTATATCCAGCCCTAGCTTTCCCCAGAGCTCCAGACCCGTAGAACCTAGCAACTTTCAGTCACTTTCTCTGGGCTAGCTCCAAAACGCAATCCCTAATACTCAGATTGAGCTTCTGACACTAGTTTTCTTGGTTGTCAGCCCCGCCCCCGGCACCAGCACCAGCTTTTCATACAGCACTTCCTAGCTCAACAGAGGACATCACTGTCTCTCCCATTCCTAAACCAGAGATGGGGGCAATGGTATCCAGTGTTTGAACTCTGGCCCCATCACTTCCTAGGTGTGACCTTGGGCAAACTAAATAAGATGTTTAAACCTCAGGCTTTGACATCTGAAAAATGGGACACCTAAGGAATAGAGAACTGTGAGTACTGAAGGAGTTAATGCATACAAAATGTTAAACACAAGAAAAGTGTCTCGCACATGTGGTTCCATCTTTCTGCCTGACCTCCATTTGCACCCCTGGTTAACACCTCTGTATCCTCTTTATTCCAACTCCAATGTTATTCCCCCTAGAAGCCTGCCTTGATCACCCCATCTATCCAGAGTAAGTCATAGTCTGCCCTATTTTTCATCCTCAAAGTGCAGTACAACTTCAATTCACATCACATACTATGGATATACTTTGTAATGGTTCAGCTACTAACCATATTCTCCAATAACCTGTAAGCTCCAGGACAGCAGGGGCTGCGGGTGTTATATCTCATTTTTGTAACCTCAACACCACACACCTGCCACTTAGCAGGTGTTCACTAAACACTGATCGAGTGAAGGGCTCAAGAAGCATTGTTTGTAAGAAAAGGGGACCTAGAGATTAGACTAGAAGTCAGAGGGTGCCAATACAAATGACACTCAATGGCCATCCCTTCTAGCGGGGCTAAGTAAAATGGGTCCAATGAGCCCATCCTACCAATGTAAAGCTCAGGACTCACCGCCTCATCCTTCCCCTTCAGGATTTGCTCTCTACAGAACCAGAACATTCTCTTCAGGAGCCCACACAGCCACACCCTGGAAAGTTTGGGGACAAATGCCAGTCCCTCCAATGTCTTTCCTGATGTAAACTTGCCTCCACAATAGGTTGACTGCCATGTGTATTTAAAAGCATATATTTTTGTACCACAAGATCTCTAAATGCAGCCAACTACTACATCTGGTGCTCAGCTGAAGAAACAACGGTCTGCTCCAACTTGGAGGACAAATCTAAGTTATATGTGCCCTAGGAGAGAATGAGGTCTTGATTCTCCAATGTGGTACCAATAAGGGATTTCCAAGAATAATTTCTGGGTGGGGAATGTAGCTCAGTGGTAGCGCCCTTGCCGAGGATGCACAAGGTCCCCTGGGTTCTATCTCCAGCACCACAAGGAAAAAAAAAGACTCTTTTTTTTTACTATACCCAATGTTTGTTTATACATCAACTCTAGAACCTGGGCCTTCTTAAAATATGGGACTCTGTGTTGGACAAAGTATTTAAAAGTTAAAGTTTTGACACCACAGAAGCTGAGACTCAAATTCTGGCTCTGCCATTTACTAGTTATGAATAAAACTTGAGACTAATTGCTTGACCTCTCTCAGACCCAGTCAACTCGTCTATACTAATAAAGATAGCAGTATCTAGAGTTTATGGTTACAGGAAGTATTAAACATAAAAAATATCACATGCAGCTGAATCATTTTTAAAAAAGCTCTTTGTACACAGAGAATGACCTCAGAAATCAGCTTCTACACCACGTCTAACATGGTGTCCCATCCCCAGAAGGTATTCAGTGAGCTTCAGGATCTTCCTCAGACATTTTGTTTATTCTGTCCCAAACTAACAGCCCACTTCTTTATAGGAGTGTCTGACACCATTCTTCTATTTTGAGTAGAACTGCCTGTGCATAAATGATCATTCTTCCTGAGTTATACAATTGAAATGTTATACAAACCACCCCACTTCCTCTTTAGTGTTAAACAATACACCTAATTCTGGGTAATTTTTCCCTACACACACACGCGCGCGCGCACGCACACACTCACATGCACAGAAACAGTTCTTTGAGAATATAAGTTTCCCAGCACAGGACTCAGAGATATTACACACGACAACAGCTGCAAATGTAGAAAAAATTAAGAGCTCTTTATCCAAAGCAAAACATGGGAGGAAAGGAAACTGAAACTGTCTGAGCTATGTTGTCGGTGGGACAAACAGACATTACCTGTGCCTCTGCCACAGTATTTCTTTTGTGTCTATTACTTAAACGAAACAGTACTTGCTGCCATTTGCAAAATAACTGTTCCCCAAATGACACTGACCTAAGCACTAAGAGAAAATACAGAATTACTGCTGCTTTTCCAAAGCTTATGTTTCTGAAGGTATATAGCGAAAGGAAAACAGTTATTATGCAGTGAATAAATAATAATAAAGAATAAGGCACAGGCTACTATTTTTGAAAAAAAGGAAAGACCAGCCAGGCATGGTGGCACATGCCTGTAATCCCAGCACTTAGGAGGCTGAGGCAGGAGGATCACAGTGAGTTTGAGGCCAGCCTAGGCTATATAGTGAGTTCCAGGTCAGTCCAACTACACAGTGAGACTATTAAAAAGAAGAAGAAGCAGAAGAAAGAAGAAAGAAAGAAGAACAAGAAAGCTGGGGATTTAGCTCAGTAGCACTATGCCTGCCTTGCAGGCACAAGGTCCTGAGTGCAATTCCTGGTACAAAAAAACAAAAACAAAGTTAAACCTTCATGAAAGAAGTACCTAATGATAGCCAGATGAAGGTGATACACATTAAAAATAAAAAACCAGTATGGTTTATTTAGAGATGCTGAAAGGGGGTAGAAACAAACATAGCAGATGAGATTTAGGAAATTATACAAGCAACAGAATAAGAAATTCACTTATTTGGATGAAGAGGTAGTTTTACATCGCTCCTGAAATGAAAAGGAAAGCTCATCAGAAAGCCATGTCCCCAGAATCCAAACATGGCTCTACTCTCTCACAATGGCACAGCCCATGTCATTACTTACCCGGATAAGGGAAGCCTGATGCCGAAGGGGTTTGGCTCCTGAAACTCCAGACGAGGATCCCTCAGGCTGAACAAGGGGCTGTCTACCTTCATAAGGAGCTGAAATCAGAGAGACAGTTAGCATGGTATATAAAAATTCCATCGCAAAATCATTACTTCACACTCAAACTGATACGTATTGGCATTTCAGGGAAGAACTGGCAAAGGAATTTGAACATATGCTCGTAGGACCATCTAGGACAGAAGAATCCCGATGTTTTTAGGCACAGTGTAAAGATACCCAATCCATTAGTGATAAGGCAGGAAAATATTTATATCAGGTTACGATTAGGAATAAAGTATGAGGGTGAGAACCACAAATGGGATTTTTCAAAAACAAGAATAGCTAGAAAAGTGCCATGTTGAAAGTATTCAAATTCTAGTGCAGTACAAGGTAAATGCTAACATACAACTGTTTAAATGTCTCCCTCCCCCTCATCATTCAATGCCCAAAGAAAACTAATGTGCATTTTGATCACTAAGAATCAACATTATCATTTATTTTTTTAAATAAATGGCACTGTTGTCTTCATTGTACAGAATACAAAACCAAGAAGAGAAAAATATAACAAACAACTAAATTTACTGACAATTAGAAATGGGAAGAAAGGAGCTAAAGGTGTAGGGAAGGTGGAATGGGTAGAGGAAGGGTAATAAGGGAAAAGAAAAAAATGTGAGATAATGAGAAGATAAAAATAAAGTTTGTAGATGGGGAGGGGAGGAGGGGTGAAGGGAAGGCAGGGGTAAGGGGAAAAAATGAGAATCAAGACCTGTCGTGTAGAGGTTACAAGATCCCAACAATGCTGTACTGTATCCCTAAAATGTACCAATAAACTCAATTAAAGCTGGAAAAAAAAACAACTAAATGTATTTTATGTTTATTATTCTAATATCCAATAACCAAACTATGTTAAAATGATTTTTCTATCTTTAATAAAGAGCTTCTAAGTAAACGAATGCATTATTTTACTCCTTTTATTTCCAGAACATTTTTAAATGGCCTTGCTAATATTACAGGAAGACAGTTAAACATAACCAGGTAGTACTTGGTTCCAACAGAAAGGAGAAATTATCACCTAAGTCAAAACCATTTCTCGTCTCTGGGTGAACAGCCTGAGTTCTGGAAAGTATAAAAATATATAAAGTGCTTTCTTTCTGCGACTGACTATAAATAAAATTAGGTGGAGAGCAGTGCAGCCTATTATGCTACCAGGTTTAGCATGGCTTGGGCTTTCGAAAACAAAGTACTAGAACAACAGTATATCAACAAACCACTTGGGTTCACATCTGCTTTTTGTATTTCTTCTCAGAATGTTATAACACATTAAAATATGGGGATATATGTTAAAGTATCAAGATGATTGCCTGGCAAACCATTAAGTGGACTTTCAGAACCTGCTAGGGATGAATCGACATGTAACAACTGCAGAAGAAACATACGTAGAAGGCTCATGATCCAAATCTTCAAACCTAGTTCTCAGCTGGTAGGCAGGCATTGTCTTCCGACAAGCAGAATTTAAAAAAATCATTCCATGTTCATGGAGCACAGAATTAAACTCTTTGTACCAACTCCATTCTTCTAGAAGGTTTTAAACAAAGTACACTGCAGCCTGGCTAGAATCCTCATGCTCACACACTTTCCCTGAGAAGTGCAGCCCATGAATCCCGTATGCCTCTGCTTCCCATAAGAGGCAGATAGCTTTTAATGTCCCGGGGAGATAAGGTGGGGGGAAGGCCACCATCTGGCTTTAAACTCCAATCCAGCCCCTCCAAGGACCCTCCCTTGAAGAGACAAATGTATTCCATCAATGAGTCTTGGATGAAGTCAGCTACAGGCAAGCTCATTTTGTAAAGGCAGATTTTCTCCTCCTATGTGGGAAGCCTGGGCCAGCCAACCTGCCTGGAACTGGAAAGGTGAACATCAGAAGTCCATCCAGCCACCCATTTAAGACATATGCTCAGAACCACACCTGCTCCCGACCCAGCAGCCATCGCTCAAGCGCCGGGAGGTAGGCCGGGCCCCGATCCACCGCGGGAAGGAGAACCACGCCTGCTCCCGACCCAGCAGCCATCGCTCAAGCACCGGGAAGGTAGCTGCACGGGCGCCCCTGAACCCCCATAATCCACCCCCTCCCCGCACTCTCAGATCTCCTGACTGTGCCAGTCTTTGGACCCATTCTGCAGAGGCAGAGGTGGTCATCAAGGGTATTTTTCTGAGTTCCCAACTTTGAACATCTTTAAAGAAAGGGCGTGGGAAACCTATAATAGAACGTTGTGGAGTTCAGCCATTCAGAAGGTTG